GGCGGAGGTATGCCCGAAGATGGGGGTGGTGGTGGCGGCGGAGGAGCTGGAGGGCCTCTGCTTGATGATGGAGGAGGGTTGGTGGTGGCGGAGGAGGAGGAGCAGCTACGGCTCGACGTGGGAGGGGGAGGGGGAGGAGGCACAGAAGGACTTGGGCTTGATGAAGGGTGCGGCGGAGGCGGTGGAGGCGGCGGAGGAACGCTTGATGAAGTCGGTGGTGGTGGTGGAGGGGGCACCGCGCTAGATGCAGGTGGAGGAGGCGTGGGCCGGGAAGCAGCTGGCACAGGCGGAGGAGGAGGAGGTTGGCTGGCCGGACTTCTGGGGGGTGGTGGGGGAGGTGCTGGCGTTGATCCCGGGCCATGGGGCACTTTGGGAGGAAGCTGTGGCGGTACCGCAGGGCTTGACGAGCGGGGAGGTGGCCGTGGTGGTGGCCCTGGAGGCGCTGGGTTACGGCTGGGTGGTGCTGGAGGAGCGGACACCTTTCGCTCTCCTTGGAAAGGTGGAGGCACCCCAAACCGGGGTTGACTATCATCCATAGGAGTCTTTGGAGGTCGTGGCGGGGGAGGAGGCCCAGGATTCGCGCCCGATAATGCTCGTTGTCGGCCGGGAAGAGGGGGCCCATTGCTGTGCGCAAATTTGCCAGCATCTGCAATTGGAGGCGGCGCTCGGAATCTCGGCCGGGGCGGGGATGGTTCGCGAGTGGATGCAGGCGACTCTTCCTCTGCTTCAGCACGAGTTCTCCGTGATGGCGGAGGTGGTGGCGGAGCGCCTCGCCGACTACCCGTACTATTACCTGTATGTTGCGGGCTTATAGAACTCGACTTAGGGGCAGGAGGCGCTGATGGAGGAGGCGGAGGGGGAGCTTTGCCCCTTTTATCCTCAGCTGGAGACGGAGCAGAATCGACCCCGTTGCTTTGTTTCTGCTCAATATATGCCTTGATAAAGTCCGAATTCTCCGCGATTTGGTCTTCCGTGATGCCCATCTGCAAGAGTTCGTCCAGAAGACCTTTCCATGACGGATCACTGGTGTCGAAGGGCAAGGGCTTGCGCGGAGGGCTGCTGGGTGGGGGAGGTGCGACTTGAATGGAGGGCGCAGGAGGTTCTGTATGTGCTACTGGTGGAGGCGCATTTGACCCCGATGTTGACCGATGGCCTAGCAGGCTACCGAAAATCGACCGTCCTACGCCGTGTTTACCATTTGCTATGGGAGCAGGGCCTTGACCACGAGTGGATGCGAAAGGTGTCTGTCGGGTTTCTTTGCTCGCATTTTTCTCCCGCTCTTGCATTTTCTTGATGAACGTTTTAGCTTCCTTCTCGTCAGCAAAGGATAAACCAGCGGCACACTCTTCCAGCTCAAACGTGTGAAAGAATGTTCGGTCTTGGTTATAGGGGAAATTATCGTAGATCTCCTGGTCCCAGATAACACCTCGTCCAGAGGGCTGTGGCTCGGAATGAACGGAATCATCAGCAATCTGGGGGAAAAAAAAAGAAGTCAAGGGCCATCAAGACAGACACAGTTACTCACCGATACATCCACCAGCTTCAACCAGAAGGTCCGCCCGACTAGATCATTCGCCAGGACGACGGCACCCTGTAGACCTGTGTATGTCCATTTTTGAGGATCCGGGTAGGCCACATATAATTGCGCAACAGCTACAGCGTGGATCTTGTTCGCTGGTTTGGGGACAGTCCTCTTGACGGTTTCTTTGTCGGCATCACTGAGGATAGATGGCATGACGGACCGCGAAGAGCTAGTTCAAGAATACCGGAAACGGAATTAGAGGTTATGCAGCGCCGTAAGTGTTTCTTAAGGAACTTCTCGATAACGCATTGCAGGAGTTGGTGAAGTTGCTCCAGGCAGAAGTGTACAAACGCACTCGACTTCCAGACACGGATAATCGCTGATGCGGCCAAGAACAAACTCGGGCTAGAGAGGAGGGGCAATTTCTCCGGGTGTTCGATCAAGACTTAAGAAGATTGACTGTGGGTGAGTTTGAGAGGCGGAACCGGGGGCGTACGCGAGTAATTCGTATGCCTATGGGTAGTTGAACTGTTGGCTGTTGGGAGAAATCAGCCTTGAGGGGAAGTCAGAGAAGAGGTCAAGTAGCAGAAAGAGGGAGAGAGGCACACTACCACTAATGCTGCCGCTAAGTTTCTACTACAGTGCCACTAACTCCATTTCCGGTCCCACTTCAGGCCCGAGTGGGGAACTCGGAGAGAATGTAGGGCATTACTATCTAAACATAAGGTATGGATTCTTATTTCTTCTTCCTGGGCTACAATTCGGGCCATCTCTACTGACTGGTTGATGTCAACTGGAAAGGCTATACCCAAAGAAAATAGTTGAACTTGTAATGACCTATTGCGCTCGTAATTTATTTAATCTCCAATCGTTCTTTCCATTATTTAGTCGTTACAGCCATGACTACGAGTTCAATATTCCCGAACCTGTCAGGTTTGAGAGTAGATCAATTCTGGAACAGTCCGTATGTCATGGCCTTTTCGTTCATGAAATTAAATTCAATGTCAGGTGGCTGATTTCCAATCGACGTCATCCCGTTTCCTCTCCAAAACCCCTTCTATTTAAATACCATTCGTACCAAACACAACTCTGCACCATCTTCAGATAAATTAATCATAGAGCTTCTTCTCACTTGGCTACTCGTTCCACCCTATATTGCAATAGAAGATTATTCACTAGGTTACATACACCTCGCTCCAAGATGCCGGTCATTCCTTCAGACACCACCAATTTCCCATCAACAGCCAGCAATAGCTCCAACCAGAATGAATCGCAGAAGGCCACTGCTCAGGACCATCTGTCTAAAGGACCACAAATCCCGGACAGTATGTACCGTGATATCTTTGGTAGATCCTTGGCAGTTTAACTGACAGCCGCAGATATGCCACCCAAAGCTTCCCGGGAGGAAATCGAAGCACGCAAGAAAGAGCTGAACAAATAAATCAGAATTCTCAAGGATGGCCATGATGGAAACTCCATTATCATGAATTATGAAAAATATAGCGGAAATGTTATTTAGGACTGTTACTTGTCTGGTTTATTCTGTGCAATGAATTTTGTAGGTAGCAATTTCGTATGTATAACTTGTCAGATTCAAAGACTATCGTAACTAGTACTCGTCCTAGAATGAATGGCATCAGCTCTTGGCCATGCCAATTACTATTCTCCAGTACGTAGTATAATCACGTCCATTGACCAACATACTACTAGTACTAGTACTTGGTTTTCTTCAGAGGCTTAATTACATCATAGGCACGTGATTTCGTGTTCACTTTGCTCCTCATTGCGCGACAAGGACATGTCTTTTTCGCGTTAAGAGGCTCCTCATGCCGCCGGAACGTACAAATGTCCCGGTGAAGCTGTCCTTGCCGTTAGTAAGTGCTCTGGCCTTTTGCACATATACACCGGAGGTTCTTTTGGTATGACTGACAGCATCAAATCCAGCAATATCAGCAGGACATCTTCACCGAACTGCGCACCGAGGATGAATTGGTCATCCTTGCCCGGGGCCTTGGGCTATTGCGCTTAGTGACTAATCTCTTACATTTTTATGATGCTGCAGGGAATAATCTAGTCTTGGTAGTGGGTGCCGATGATCGAGAGAATGAATGGATCGGCGAAGGTATGTCAAAAGGCTCTCCAGCTTATCCATAGTGCCTCGAGTAGGATATGCCGACGCTAATAGCCAAACAGCACTGGCAGAACACTATGCCATTAGCAAAACCCCCTTTGCCAGAGGACTCAAGGTAATCAACACCGAGAGAGCCTCAGTTTCCATGAGGGAGAGGATCTATGCCGAAGGAGGTATCCTGAGTGTAACATCCAGGATACTGGTTGTAGATCTACTATCAAGTATGTATCCGGAGTAGCTTTCTATGCGATAGCAAGCACCTGATATTTACTTTAACAGAGCTTCTCGATCCTGAAAAGATCACGGGAATGGTTGTGCTTCATGCCGACAAGTAAGGCCCTACTCTAGACTTCTCGTAGATATTTACTCATCACCTTCCAGGATCATGGCAACTTCAACTGAAGCTTTCATCATTCGAATATTTCGACAAATCAACAAAAATGGGTTCCTAAAAGCATTTTCCGACTCCCCGGAACCATTCACTACAGGGTTCGCACCCTTAGCTAATTCTATGCGCAATCTTTTCCTTCGCAAAGCCTCATTATGGCCGCGATTCCATGTTACTGTTGCCGAGTCCCTCGAAGGTCACAGAAAAGCCGAGGTCATCGAGCTTGAGGTTCCGATGAGCGACAAGATGCGTGAAATGCAGAATGCAGTCCTTGAATGTGTGGAAATATGCATCGGAGAACTGAAGAAAGCCAACACTGGCCTGGACATGGCAGACTGGACCCTGGACAGCGCTCTGCATAGAAGCTTTGACATCATGATCAGACGGCAGTTGGATCCTATATGGCATCGGGTGACGTTCAGGACCAGGCAGATTGTTAGCGATTTGAGCGATCTCAGGGCGATTCTCCAGTGAGTTCAATAGCGACCCCTCATCCGTTAAGCATTGTATAACCACTAACTTACCATTAGTGCGTTACTGACGTACGATTCTGTGTCATTTGTCAAATATCTGGATACTATTGTAACTGCGCATTCTCCTCCCCCTGGGTCCACAAGGCATAACTATTCACCATGGCTGTTCCTTGATGCAGCTCATGTTCTGTTCCAGACTGCTAGGTCTAGAGCATATCAAGGGAAAATAAGCAGTGAAGTGGCTCGCTCATCATTGAATTCGTTCCCTACTAGTCTTCAACCTGTCTTGGAAGAACAACCCAAGTGGGAAGTCCTGGCAGAAGTGCTGGAGGAGATAGAAAACGATGCGTACCTCAATCCAGTCAATGTGGACGAGTCGAACAGTACAATTTTGATCATGTGTACCGACCAACGAACTTGCCGACAGCTCCGGGAATATCTGGGGACAATGCATGCTCATGTAAATGACGAAAATGAAGACGACAAAGACATTGGTGACATCACCAGGAAGGGCTCCGCGCAGGTCATGATGCGTAGGAGACTGCGGGACTATCTCAATTGGAAGATATCTCTGTCTAATGTGACGAAGAATTTATCTTCGAAGCCAACAAATGACGAGACTGGGAAAAGCCAAGACTCACCTGGATCATCCACTCAACAAGGACGAGCCCCTCCAAACAAGCGACGCCGGGTCCGTGGCGGAGGTGCTGTTACATCTGCCTCTGGCCGCGTACCGAATAGCAGTGTACGGACAGATGTTGAATTGCCTGGCCAAGTCTCGAACTTACTGGAAGAGATCCAACCCACGGAAGTCGAGGAGGTCCAGAAGGAGGAGATCATAATTGACGATCTGGATGATATGGAAGATTTCTATGAGCTATGCGACATGGATGATTTAATCATGATACACCCCTACGATGGTGACATGGACGAGCACATATTGGAAGAAGTGCGGCCGCGGTACATCATTATGTACGAACCCGATTCGGCGTTCATCCGACGAGTGGAAGTCTATCGCAGCTCTCATGTTGGGCGAAACGTGCGAGTGTACTTTATGTACTACGGAGGATCTGTCGAAGAGCAGCGGTATCTTAGCGCAGTCCGACGTGAGAAAGACTCCTTCACAAAGCTCATCAAAGAGAAAGGCGTAAGATGACCACATGCAACTACTTCTAGGAAACTGTCTACTAACATGATACACACAGAATATGGCTGTCACTCTCACACATGACAAGGGCTTCGAAGACCCTCAAGAACAGTTCCTGCGCACTGTTAATACACGTATTGCTGGAGGCGGACGGCTAGCTGCAACAGCGTCGCCTCCTCGAGTCGTGGTGGACGTACGAGAGTTTAGAAGCGCTCTTCCATCTCTACTACACGGTAATAATATGATTATTGTCCCATGCCAGCTAACGGTGGGAGACTATATTCTTACCCCGGATATCTGTGTTGAGCGTAAATCAATTCGTGACTTAATCACTTCCCTCAGAAATGGCCGTCTCTACAACCAAGCAGAAACGATGCTTCAGTATTACAAGAACCCTCTTCTTCTGATTGAGTTTGACCAGAACAAGTCGTTTACCTTCGATGCATTCGCGTCCGCAACAACACCAGGAACGACTTTCCTAACAGATTATGGGTTCTCTTCTTCCGGAACTGCGACCACAACCTTGTCTGGTAGCAGTTCGCTCGTTAATCCCTCCAGCCCGAAGTCCGCTCAACACCTCCTCGTCCTTCTCACTCTCGCATTTCCTCGCTTAAAGGTCATTTGGTCATCCTCTCCTTACCAGACTGCGGAGATCTTCGCGGAACTCAAGAAGAACAACCCGGAGCCAGACCCTATCCGAGCAGTTCAGATCGGACTAGACATGGACATTGCACCTGGCTCCGAATCCAGTAATGTCATGGCTGCAGCTGGTATAGAGCACCGTACCTTCAATCTCCTTCCTCAGGATATGCTCAGAGCCGTTCCGGGTGTGACACCGGGTGTCCTAGAACGGCTTATCCTTGATACGGGCAATATCTCGGAGATCGCTAATATGGATGTTGAGCAATTGGATCCTCTTGTGGGAACAGAAGCCGCGCGCAAGATCGTCAACTTCTTCCGGAAGAGTGTGTTCGATGAAAGCTAACCTGCATCTACTGTCTACTAGCTTGCGAAGTCCAGCTACTGAAGAGCTAGTTGATGGCTACATTTAGAGTATATAAATAGGACTTCAAAACATAACTTTGTATGTCCAGACTTTTTGTATTCTCGTAACCTTGTCATGAATCTATCATCCAAGTTTTAAATTAAAAGGAACGAAGTAGCAAGAGGGAACAGACAAAAGAATTGCCAACACGAAACACGCTGAGTACAGTCGGTCTCTTGATACGCGTCGCAACCAATTCTCTGCGAAAATCCGAGGTTGTCCCTCATGATAAAAACGATCTTTGGCCAAAAAGCCAATCGAATTATCATGTAGAACTCCAAGAATTTTCTACCCATGATTCATACCCTGACTTTTGGAAGGAGCACTGGGGCAGTGGTAGGTCCCCAAGCGAAGCGGGAAGGCAGCAGCCCCTAGACCTTTCTGGTCTCCTTCCCAGGAAACAGATGGCATAATGATAAAACCAACCGTCAAGCTCCTGCCTGACGCAAGAAAGACCTTTCACAGAAGGAAGCCTGTCGGGTTTCCCAGAAAGGAAATAGCTTGGCTTTGAGAAAGAGAAAAGAGGGGCTGGCGAACAGGATCCCCAGTAGCTCTCGCAGGGCTGAATCCAAAGGGGTGAAGGTTTTTAGAGCTCGTCGACATCGATCTCCTTCTCGTCTTCGCTCTCGCGGTCCTCGTCGAACTCGACGTTGTCCTCGAAGCCTTCGTGGCCGTAGGTATCGGTCTCGTTGATCTTGGCGTGTTCGGGCAGCTCACCGTAGGCCTTGAGACTTCTGGCCTCATCGGCAGTGTACTTCATGATAACGTCGCCCTTTTCGTCCTGGTAATCACGGAGAGAGAGAAGGATGATATCACCCTGGTTGATCCAGACCTTCTTCCTGAGCTTGCCACGAATGTGCGCCAGACGCTTCTCGCCATCGAAGCACAGCGCCTCGAGACGGCCGTTTCCAAGCATCTTCACAACCTGGGCATACTCCTGGCCTTCTTCCTTGAACACGAGTTCACGCTTCTCGTTGTCGTTCTCGTTCTTTCCACGACGACGGTTCTTACCGCCCTGTACATATGTTGTTAGCCTGTGCTCTGTGTAAATATTCCCAAGTTAAACGCTTCCGCAATCTTAAGGTATCTCAGCTGCCCAAAAGTCACCTCCCAGGCACGGGGGGTGGCGATTTGGGAGTTGTTATGGCACCGACTAAAGCACCCACAAAAGAGGCAAAGAAAAGTCTAACACAGCGGGGGCGATTTGTTTCAGGAAAATCCCGTTCTTACCTTTCCCTTATTCTTGGGCATGACGGAAATTCGCTAACCGCGATAACTTTCCACTCGATGCAATATCAGATGGACTGATATAAAAAAGAGGAAGTGGTATATGTCCCAAAGGACCAAGAGTGGTGAAAGTGGGGGAAGTGTCGAGTAGGCGGGAAGCAATTTCGACGCTTTTCTGAATATATAATCGGTGGGGGGCCGGTGGCGTGGCGGCCTGAGTCATGCCTAAGGCTGGCCACAGGGGTCGACCAATGAAAATTGGCTACTGTTACCGCCTCAAATGTTTCTTTTGGCAGAAAAATAAATGGAAATCGTCCGATTTAGGTCGAATTTGGTGAATCCAGCTCCATGAAGAAAGAGCCTACGTCTTTTCTGCCTCTTACCTCTTTGATATTTGATTTCTTGAAAGGCTTCTGACACATATACCTGCGCGCTACCTCCCACCACTGCTAGAATAACTGGTTTCGTCTTGCTAAACAATGAAGGGAAGGTGACACCGTCTAGCGTCAGTGCCCTAGGTCCCAGTCTCATCTTTTCTAGCCACAAAGGCAAGGCTCTTTCTTGACTACCTGGTCGACTTAGACATGAAGTTTCTCGCATCAACAAAGCAGTTTACTCTGCGGTATGTTCCGAAACATGTCATATCTCCTATCGCTTCCCGGTACTTAGCTTCTCCGATCAATCCTATCCGGTTCAAAATTCAACATTTATATGCCACCCGTGATCGGACTACATTATGGTGGAGAGTATCTTCACAACATCTACAGCAGCAAAGGCGAGTGGTCCGGTCATGGTGTGCACGGAGGGTCCGAATAGCGTTTCAGCGCGCGTTGAAAGAGCGTGGCTTTGATACCGAAGGCAGAAGGATAAGGCCAAGCTCTGATGAAAGTGCCGCGCTATCAGAAGGAAATAGTGACAATTTGGTAGGGTCAATCGACATCCTTGTCCGCCCGCAGTGTGTCCAAGAAGATTATGCCACGGTCCAGGCGGATATGAATTCTCTCGTCGATTCCTTGATACAGAACAGGAACAAGGGAGATCACCCAAAATCGCTGCGGAACGAGGGCGTCAAGGTGTCAATTAAGAATTCCCAAAGAAAGAATAGTACTAGTAATTAATCTAATAAGTGTATATATGTCGTCGTTGTGTGACGTTAGTATAGTTATCAACTGTATCATATCCGCATTCTCCGAGTGCAGTGAAGACAATAATTGCTTCAGATGTGGTAACGCAGATCTATCCTTTGTGAGCAATTTTGAGTCTCCTAATAGAAAACACGATTGAATAAACAAGAATAGTGGAGGGCATTCCCCATATGTACAAGGAACTCGGAGATATAACGCGCGGCACTGCCTCCTTGGCATATTCGCTAACTCGCCGACCCTCTCGGGGCCTGGAAGCAAGAAGACAACAACGGACTAGAGCAGTTGTAGCACTAACCTCGCAAGATAGCAATCAACCCTTTCTTATTGTCTACTATTCTTTGTCTTTTATGCGCTATCGATAATCGATTAATTCCTTTTCTTATCCTCCAAGATGCTGGTCTCCTTGACAGTTGGCAAGGTAGACGCTGGAGTCGCCGTCCTCTTGACACAGGATAACCGGCTGGTAAGTCGTCCCCTCTCTTACTGCAATTGATGCGACTGTTTCACCCCTTCAAGGCCTCTCGATCCTTGACTCATCTATTCAACCATGAAACAACATCACTGGATCTGCGACAGTTCTAATACTTGTCCCTTTCGCAAGTGCTAACCCACCAATTACAGATCGAGTTTCCCTCTGTCCTCCTCCCTAACAACATCACATCCGGCAGCATCGTCGACATCACAGTAGCGCGCAATCACTCCGCCGAAGAAGCCAGTGCCACCGGATTCCAAAGTCTCCAGAAAAGCATCCTCAACACATACGGTGTCAAGACTCCCACTCCGCCGGTCCTGCGACTCCGCAACGCAACCCAAACCTCACTAGTACTGGAGTGGGATCCGATCGACCTGGCCACAGCAGCTCTGAAATCCCTCTCGCTCTATCGCAATGGCTCCAAAGCCGGATCCATCCCGCGACCCCTCGAGACACGCTCCACCAAGATCAGCGGACTGGCAATCCACACCGAATACACCTTCCACTTGGTCCTACGCACAACCGCCGGCACATACCAGTCGGAGAAGCTGACATGTCGGACACACAAGATGACAGATCTCTCCGGTATCACGGTTACGGCGGGTGTTTTGCCGGAACAGCAGAAGGAGGCACTTGGTGCTGCGCTGGATCGCATCGGCGGCAAGCTGATTGATACGGTCCGCATCGATACGACTCACTTCGTGTGCACTGAGGGAAGAGGCCCGCTGTGGGAGAAGGCGGTTGAGATGAATATTCCTGTTGTGACACCGGAATGGGTGGATGCCTGTGAGGCTGAGGGCACTATCGTGAGTGTCCGTGGCTACTACCTGAATGCCGACCCCAAGGCTAGACAGCTGGGTCCTATTCATGCGTCGACGCAACATCAGCGTACCATGTCCACTATGACTGCCAATACACAGAATCATATCCAGTCCCAGTCCCAGTCGAGACTGAGCCTCCAGCCTCAACCGACGCGAGAGAGACAGGAGTCTCTCGCTGAACCGCCTGTTACTCCGTTCCCCGGGGCCGGCATGAGTGGTCAACCGAAGGCCGAGGACTCAGAAGGACCTTCGGATGATGAAGATGAACAGCCTCCTCCGCCTCCTCCCAAGGATGAGGATGAAGCTGCAGAGTCCCCGTCCCCGGAGCCGACTACTAATGGTCATGCCGAGCAAAATGGGGAGGCTGATGTTACGGAAACAGCAGTTTCATCCGACAAAGAGGACAAGGCTGATAGTGAAGAGAAGGAAGACGATGCAGAAGAGAAAGCAGAGGAAACAAAAGAAGAGCCATCGGGCGATGAGGTGAAAAAGGGCAAGGGAAAAGAAAGCGAAGGGGACTTCAATGAAGTCCCTCTTTAATGGGTCCATGTGAGCGTTTTCCTTATGTCTCTTTTCCTTGTTTTCTTTTTCATTTCTTTTTCTTCTTCTTATCCTGTTCAAGACTTTGAATTCATCGAAGCCTGTAATTGTATAGCCAGTATGCTAGTAGATGAGTCTCTCGCGGCACGACGTTTCCTAATGTATGCCTTCTTTATACTTCCCACATCTTACCCCTTGCTGCAATCTTGTGGCATGCTTGTACTATAGAGGTAGCTTCCAATGGTTCATGATTTATCTGATAGTATAAAGTTCTCCGTATTACATAGTAATGTTTCAGTAATGATCTCATCATAAACTTCCATAATCATTCGAAATGTCATATATAAATCTAATCAAGATGTACATCTATCTCGTCATGCACACTCCAGTACACGTACATCAAACTATTTGACAACGCCCTCTGGCATGGAAGGACCTCCCCGACCTTCACCTAAAATGCAAAGCAAAGATTGCCAACTATTGCGCCGATATGCTTGGAAACTTCATATGTACGACAAGAGGTACGTTAGATATGTACTGAGCCTCGCTTGTGTTTTTCTTCTTTAGTTTATTGACTTCGTTCCTCGTTGTAATCATCAGCATGATAATGCATGCTTAGTTGACGTTGCGGACAACGTCGTTGATAGCCTGAGCTACGTAGGTGACGTTCTTCTCGCTCACTGTGTGGAATTGGTTTATTAGTAAGGACATTTTCCTTGTGCAGTGGATGAAATCAATGACTTACGGCCGCTGATGGAGGCTCTGCCGGATTTGAGAAGGTAAATGTGATATTTGTCCTTCAAGGCGTACACTTGAGAGGGGGTCAGACCGGTGTAGGAGAACATTCCATTCTGGGAGGAGAGAAGGTTAGTCTTAGCTTGGAATGCTACTGGACGTGGTGATGGGTAGTTTGTCTATTACCTGTTCAACGATGTGTCTCCATGTTCCGGGAGTCTCGAGTTTGATGAGCTCATTGTACAGGGCTTGTCTCATGGTCCTGATACGGGAGCTCATGACCTGCAGATCTTCATGCCACTGGGCAGTGAGTTCATCATCAGTCAGGACTTTCTTAACGATGCTGCATCCGCCGGTGGGACCCATGGAGTATTCTCCACGGATGAAGTGACAGAGGTTGTTGACGACGATGTCGCGGAGGTTCTGGGCACCGTCGTTCAGGACGTAGTGGAATGCACCGACACGCTGGCCATACAGACCAAAGTTCTTCGAGAAGCTCTGGGCAACGCACATTTCCATCTGGGGCTTCTCATTAAGAAAGTACCGGACAGCCCAGGCGTCCTCGTCGGCAGAACCGGAGGCGAAGCCCTGGTATGCAGAGTCGAAGAAGGGGAAGAGCTTCTTACGCTCGCACAGGTCGGCAATAGCTTCCATTGCTCCTTGTTGGGGTCAAGACCGGTGGGGTTATGAGCGCAGGCATGGAGGAGGATGACATCTCCTTGCTGGGCGTCGGCTTCGAGGGTAGACATCATGCCTTCGAAGTCGAAGGAGCGGGTGGCGGCCTTGTAGTACGGGTAGGTCTTCCGGGGGACGCCAGCGAGCTCCCAGATGGTTAGATGGTTGGCCCAGGATGGGTTGGAGAGCCAGACATTCTTGGGCTTCATAAGGTGTGAGAGGAAGACAGCACCGAGGTGGTTGGCACCGGTACCTGCGACAGCCTGGACAGAGCCAATGCGGCCCTTGGTCGCCTTGACCTTGTCGGAGGTGTCTTTCGCGTCGAAGCCGAACATCAGGTCTCGAGCCAGCTCGAGGAAGGGGATGTCACCTTCGATAGCGGTATATTCATGTCTGAAGAGGTTGTCGTCGGCAAGTAGGCGCTTCTCTGCCTCGCGGACGACGGGCAGCGGCCATGGCTTGCCATCGTCTGTACGGTAGACACCCACACCGAGACTGACCTTCTTCGGGTAGTCGTCGTTGGCGTAGGCACGGTTCAAGGCGAAGATCTCATCCGCCGGCACCGGGGCCAAGGTGCTTAGAACAGTCATGGTGGTTATGACGTTGTATAGTAGTCGAGGAAGTTCACTCAATTGATCTCTCCTGGGGGAGTATTGCGATTGCGGAGGAAGGGGGTCACAAAAGGAAAAGAGCGGAGAAGCTGCTGCTTAGATATGGAAGACGAGGTCACTGAAGACTTGTCTATACTGCCAGAATAAGTAATCAAATTACAGAAATGGTTTTCTGCATGACTCAATGGCTAGTGTGATGTATTAGTAGTGGCATTGGCCCGATATCGCCGGCCTAGTTATCCGCTAACATTAAATATTGCCTCTGTTTCATTTTTTTTTTTTTTATTTTTAGTCTAATTATTTGCCGTCGCAGGCGGGCTACAATACCCGACGGAAAAACGCGCTTAGCATGGATAGTTCCTGCATTGTGGGCCGTTCCATGGGGATAAAGTAGGAAAACGCTCCCTGACTGGTCGAGGGCGATGTATCCTTTTGGTAGATGTTCAATGATGACGGGGCTGAGATCACACGCATCTTTGGATGGGTTGGACGTAGAGGTGCATATGACCTTGGACGAGGTTATTTTCTTGCCTAGAGGTGAAAGTAAGGGAGATGTCACCTGTCGGATAGTTGGCAGATCCTCCATATCAAGGCTCGCCACGGATATTTCAATGGAGGGTTTGAGATGTTCATAACTCAAACAACAATTAGGCCAAAAATCCCACAGTGCAGGCACCGCCAGGTATGTGATAGTTGGTAGTTTCTTTTTCTTTCATGCTTTTTGTGTCGCCTTCCTCCCAATAGTGCCTTTGAGGCGCCTTGGCACCAGTGAAGATAGAGATATCTGTCGACACACATTTTATTAACCAGCAATCTGCAAGGTTCTCTGTCATTGTGTGGACTATGACATAATATTGGTAATAATGCTGTGAACCATCTGGGATTCGGTAATAACACCTCAGGGCTATTGAACTGTCGATACGCTGAAGTTGCTACTACTATATATCCGTGGGAAGCCTGATCTAATAGCGAAGTCAATTAGTAGTCGACTTTGAGGTATAGATGTAGCGGGGTAGGTGAGATAAAGATACTATATCAACCGAACCAGATAAAATGCAAGAGTCCAAAGGGACATACATATTCAACATACTTAACAGTGTCCTGTTCCCATTAGGGTGACTACATCGTGGATGTGGCAAGGCCACCCAAGGGTAACAAGTATGGTGACAGCGCGGGAAGTTGATGCGGGTTGAATGAATGGCAGCCTGCGCTAGGTAGGGTGCTGACTGTAGTCGCTAGGTTAGGCCAAATCACGGTCTCTTCCGATTCGAGGTCACGTCGGCTGATCATAGGGAGGGGGCTGGCAGGGCGTGAGATTCGACCTCTAAGCGGAGCTACTCCGATGTATGTATACATAGATGCCTCAGTGTGTGTTCAATTGGACCCTTGATTTTAATAACTATATCCTAAATGAAGAACACCATTTCCTTCAATCTGTAATACTCCCGGTTATATTATGACTGTAATCCAGCCATTGCCAACTTCCTCAGAAACGACTGGGGGATCCTAATCTACACTCATCACGTCCACCAACCGTCATTAAACCACTTTATAACAGCATGCCTCTCGAACTGCTTCGCCGGCTCGACCCAGTCTATGTTGAACACTACAGAAAAGATACAGCGTGGGCCGCCTACATACACATGAAATACTGATCGAAGAGTTTAGAAAGAGTCCGGCGAGATGTGCCGCAGTTATGGCCGTGCTACAGATCCGGAAGTATACCGCAATACTGGGCAGAAATGTCCTACTCTAGGAGTGAGATAAGAGTTCTGATCTTCGAGCCGAAACTGACCGTTAATGAGCAAGGTAGGCTGAAGCAGGGAGCTGCATATATCAATGTCCATGGCTTTGGTTGGGTGTTTGGTAATCTTTCGGCAGACCACGAGTTCTGCAAATGAGTCGTTCATGACCTAGATGGGAAATTTGTGGCATTTGACACCGACTATCGCCTTGCCCTGAAGTATAGGCATTCCACCGATAATGAAGACTGCTGGGCCGCATTCAACTGGGCATGTCGCTGTCCTCCTAGGATCATCGTATGCTCGCAGTGCACAGCTACAGCGGACTAACTCTTAGTCTGGATTCGGGTTCAGAAGGTCGAGGAGTTCAATATTGACCCAGAGCGAATGGCAGTGGGTGGTATCTCAGCAGGAGATTATCTGTCAGCAGTGTTGGCCCATATTTGCCAGGATGCTCACACCCCACTATCCTTGCAAATTTTGTCTGTGTTTGCGTGTGATAAATGTCTTCATCCCAGAGAGGGCGGTTTGATCGGGCTAACGGGCCATACGTGTCGTACCGGGAAGTGCAAGTCACACCGGCACTGCCAACGGCAGAAATATCTCCACAAGCACTTTCATAGAATGCCTCGACCAGCAAGGCCAGAGGAGGTGTGTGCGCATGGTGTCTAGAACTTCGGTACATCCTAAGCATGCAAGCGCCGACTGAGTATACAGGACTGGAAACTCTCCCCTATGCTAGCTGTTTACGGCGGAAATGGACCCTCTATGAGACGAAGGAGAAGCATATGCTGAAAAGCTGAAGGCTGCTGGTGGTAGAACAGAAGTGATGTGTATGCCTGAGGAACTCCATATCTCCCCGCATTTGGAAGATATCTTGAAAATGGGCATATTGTGTAATAAAAAGGTCATTATTGCCATGGAGAAGGAACTTGCTGGATGATGTATATAGAGGAGGATCATGGTTTACCCGGCGAACATTCTTACCATACCGTACAAATCGGGATCTTCGCTAGGTATTGATTTCCTGTATGTATGGTCATCGCGTTACCGGGCCGGGGGATTTCGGCAGCGGAATCGGAAAAGCAATGGAATAACTGCTGAATGCAGCACCTTCGATTTTGCTTTCCTTTTCTCCCTTCTGTGTTTCTCCTCCTAATATACTGATTCTTGTACTTTTATTGTTATTCCTATAGACATATATAATTTAAGGTATTTATACGAGTTTTACCCTCCCAATCCTGAGCCATTGACCTATTCAGTACAAAGCTAAACAGAATCATCCTTGTCTAGCTCCACCATGTTGACACCCTCGAACTCCCGATCCGCAGTGCGGTCGATGGCTTCTTTGGCGCATGCAGCATCTAGAGCGTCCGCCAGTTCCCCCGCAGTCGCACGCTCTGCTTTAGCATGTGCTGCCCGGTCCCCCGCTTCTCTCGGGTGCCGTCGCGCTCTGAGCACCAATAGCCGACAACTCCAGTTCCCCCGCCTTCAGTCTTTGAACACCATCTCCAGCAAGAGAGCTTTTGGTACAACCGCAAGAATGGTACGCATACTGGGCTTTACGATAGAAGAATGCTAGTCGTTGTACTCTCCGTTCAATACTGTAGCAATGGTTTTGCTTCTAGCGGAAGAGTACGGTTTTCGAACGCACAATGCTGACGATTCCTCTTCTCCCAGGCTTCGGAAACTCGTGTTGAAACTGACGCCTTTGGCGAGATTGAGGTGAGCTTATTTCCTATCTTACACTGTGTTTTCTACATGGCCTAATCGTATGCTGTGATAGGTCCCCGCCGACAAGTACTGGGGTGCCCAGACCCAGCGGTAAGAGGCCGCCTCTAGAAGCTCATCGAGCTTGTACCGACGAGAAGACATACAGAGGCTAATCAATCCGAGAATAGTTCCTTGGGTAACTTCGACATCAACCAGCCTCAGGATCGCATGCCCGAGGGCGTTGTCAAGGCTTTCGGTATTCTGAAGGGTGCTGCTGCTACTGTGAACATGAAGTTTGGCCTTGGTACGCATATCTTTACCAGCATAGTGTTAAAACAAAACCTTTCTAACGATTTCCCATGTGTTATAGACCCAAAGGTTGGTGAGGCTATCCAGAAGGCTGCCGCTGAGGTTGCCGAGGGTAAGCTCTTGGACCACTTCCCTCTTGTTGTTTGGCAGACTGGTTCCGGTACCCAGTCCAACATGAACTCTAACGAGGTCATCTCGAACCGTGCCATTGAAATCCTGGGCGGCAAGATGGGATCTAAGAAGCCTGTGCACCCCAACGACCACGTGAACATGTCTGCTTCCTCCAACGACTCTTTCCCCACTGCTATGCACATCGCTGCTGTCTTGGAGCTCGAGGGAACTTTGCTGCCTTCCCTCAAGAGCCTTCGCGATGCCCTCCAGGTGAAGGTGGAGAACTTTGAGAAGATCATTAAGATCGGTCGTACCCACCTGCAGGATGCTACCCCTCTTACTCTTGGCCAGGAGTTCTCCGGCTACGTTGCTCAGCTTGATCGCAACATCGAGCGCGTTCAGAACTCTCTTCCCCACCTTCGCTACCTTGCTCAGGGTGGAACTGCTGTCGGCACTGGCCTGAACACCTTCAAGGGCTTCGATGAGGCCATTGCTGCCGAAGTCACCAAGATGACTGGCACCGAATTCAAGACCGCCCCCAACAAGTTCGAGGTCCTCGCTGCTCACGACGCGATCGTCGAGGCCTCTGGTTCTCTTAACACTCTTGCTTGCTCCCTCTTCAAGATCGCCCAGGATATCCGTTATCTCGGTTCTGGACCTCGTTGCGGTCTGGGAGAGCTGATCCTCCCCGAGAACGAGCCCGGCTCCTCTATCATGCCCGGAAAGGTCAACCCCACTCAGTGCGAGTCCCTCACCATGATCTGCTCTCAGGTTATGGGCAACCACGTCGCTGCTACCGTCGGTGGCATGAACGGCCAGTTTGAGCTTAACGTCTTCAAGCCCGTCATGATCCGCAACCTCCTGCACAGCTCGCGCATCCTTTCGGATGGCATGAAGAGCTTCGAAAAGAACCTGGTGCACGGTCTCGAGGCCAACGAGCCCAGAATCAACTCCCTGCTCCACGAGAGGTATGTATTTCCTTCGCTTTACGTTAGGCTGCCCAAACTAGACTAACTCCTTGACAGTCTGATGCTCGTCACCTGCTTGAACCCCGTTATCGGTTACGACATGGCGTCCAAGGTCGCTAAGAACGCCCACAAGAAGGGTCTTACTCTGAAGCAGAGTGCCATGGAGCTTCAGGCCCTTAGCGAGGAGGACTTCGACACCCATGTCCGCCCCGAGCTGATGCTTGCTCCTAAGGAGAAGAAATAGAGAGGTGCATTTTGATACCTGAATAACGAAAAGGGGTTAGGATGGGTTGGTTCAGTTTAAGATATAGCGAATTAGCATCTTTTTCCTTTTAGATTTGTTGTGATGTAGTCTAGTGTATACAGATATAAAATGCTGGTTGTACGGATTTTATTTTTAGAATTGGTGTATTTTTTGTTTTTTACCAGGCTGTGGCTACGAGGTTGTCCTGGAGTTATTTTTGGAATTCCACGGGTAGCTACGCCAACGAGATAGTGCGCCCGCTGTTGCCCTGTAAAATGCGCTGGCCTGAGAAAAATTAGTAGCTCCCAATTACATGCATGCATTAGTAGCATACTCCGAGGGTACCGAGAGGTATAGCACAGTGGCTGTGAAAGGCGAATGTTTTTTTTTT